TTGGTTCTCTCGCCTTCTGCCATGTGAGTCCCTGGAATTGAATTCATGTCCTCAGGTTTAATGGTAAGCAACTTTCTCCTCCAAGGCATCTCAGAGAACCTCAGTTTGGTTCCCACACACACTTCAGGTGGCTGATTTTGTCATCTTCCTTCGACTAGCTTTCACCCTTAGGAGACTGCTCGGGGTGACTATTGTGGGACAAAGGCCTCCCTACACCTAATCCTGCTGCATCACTGGAGGGAGGGTGGGCCAGAGCTGCAGCTGCACATGGCCGAGACTAACTGTGTACCTGGTGATTCTGGTTTCAGGCTAACACAGTTTGGTCTGTCCCCTCCTGTTGAAGGACAGAGACTAGGGGCTGGAGAGGTGGCTCAGTGGTTCAGTGTTAGAGTGCTTGCTTAGCATGTATGGGATTCTCAGTTTGATCCTCAGAAGCACAAAGCAAATAATAAATAATAGGGCTGGTGAGATGGCTCATCAGCCAGCCACACAAGCCTGACTTCCATGCCCAGAAGCCACAGGGGAGAACTAAGTCCTGAAAGTTGGCCTCTGGCTAAGTAAAGAGGAGGGCTCAAGGGGGGACACATGGATCTAGGGGAAACAACAGATTTTGCAGGTAGACTGGGGACATGTGGGAATGGGAATAGGAGGGATCAGGCAGAAGTGGGGGATGGAGGGAGAGAGTACTGGGAGAGACGCCTGGAATTGGGGGACAGTGTGTGTGTGGGGGAGGATGTGGAAACCTAGTGCAGTGGAAACTCTCTGGAATCTATGAGGGTTACCCTAGTGAAGACTCCTAGTAATGGGGGATATAGAGCCTGAACCAGCCATCTTGTGTAACCAGCCAAGGCTTCCAATGGTGAGACTGGGATATCAACCTAGTCACAAAACCACTGGGGTAATGGTGGCCAACCAATGATCTGAGACCCATGCCACAAGAGGGAGCCCATGCCTGACACTGCCTAGATGGCCAGGCAGGAACCAGAGGCTGGATAGCCCAGAGACCTAGGATAGAAACAAACATGACTAGCCAAAAAAAAAAAAAAAAAATGAAATGATCCCTAATGATATTCTGCTATACTCATAGATTGGTGCCTAGCCAAGTTGTCATTAGAGAGGCTTCATCCAGCAACTGATGGGAGCAGATGCAGAGATCCACAGCCAAACATTAGAAGGAGCTCAGGGAACCTTGTGGAAGAGAGAGAGGAAGGACTGTAGGAGCTAGGAGCCAGAAGGGTCAAGGACACCATGGGAACACAGCCCACGGAATCAACTAAGCAGGGTTCTTAAGGGCTCACATAGACTGAAGCAACAATCATGGAGCCTGTTTGGATCTGAGCTAGGTCCTCTGCATGTATATTATGGTTGTTAGCTTGGTGTTCTTACGGGACTCCTAACAGTGGGAGTAGGGGTATCTCTGACTCTTTTGCCTGCTCTTGGGACTCTTTCCTCCTATTAAGAGTTGCCTTGTCCAGCCTTGATATGAGGGTTTGTGTCACCAGGGGTATGAACCCTAATATTTGAGGACAAGATGGAAAGGCTAACTCAATTCCCTAAAGAATTTATATTCCATGGCTAGTGTCAGGAGTCAAAAAAGATTTAGTTCCACACATGGAACCAGGAGAGAGTGTAACCTCCAGGATTGTCACAGCCCCAGGGTGGGTCTAAGGATGCCTATCACATAAACTCCAAGGTCTTAGACATTAGAGCTGATATAGACAAACTCACAGTTACATCAGGCAAACTTGCCATTAACTTTTTAATAATTATCACATTAGCATGTCAGAGGAGACAACTATTCATATATAAATTTCAGTATGTACCAAAGTGTACTAGCATGCTTTCATAGAAAGAGCTGGTGAAGGGTCAGTGTAGTGAGTCAGTTGGCATACTGTACTGTTTTCTAGCTATGTATCATTGCACGTAATGTGTCCTTTGCCTGAATCACATCCTTCTCCCTCTTATTAACCAACTAGAACACTCCTATTCATCATTAAAGTTTCAGTCCATATGCCACCTCTTTCAAGAAACCCCCTTGGTCTCCTGAGCTGGGCTAAATATTCTGTAGCAATTCTTGGTCTACTGTTACCATACTATTTACCCTGAAATTAGGGTTATATCTTAATTATGTCATTCATCTCAATGCTGTCAGTTTGGAGCAGGTGGCTTAAAATGTCAAACTTTGTACAACTATTCATCTAATTAGATGGTTAAACCCAGTGTGCTGATGATTAATGAAATGATATGATACTAGCCTGGAGAGGGTAGTCTCTAATGGCATGCCACATAGCTGTGTATATTAGCATTTTGATAAAGTTAGTGGTGACAAAAGTGTGTGTGTGGGGGATAAAGGTTGGTGGCTTTTAGACAACAGTATTAGTATCCAAAGTCATGCACATGCAGAAACACTGGAGCCAGCCTAGTACCCAAGGGGGTCAGGAGAAAAGTCAGGACTAAAACCTCATAGTCTGCTGCTACTTTGACATAGGGAAGGGGAATCCTTTCAATCTGAAAATTGCCTTCTGTGGTGTTTACCTGGAGAATGGTACTTACTATGTACCAGACACTGTACATTATCCCCTCCTCTCAAGTACCACCGATAAAGTCTAATGGGAGTGATCTGCTTGACCTGAGAACCAAGAAACAGTTCCTCACAAGGCAAGAAAAGGGAAGATGCTACCTAGCTGAGAGAGCCGGGGCTTTGTTTGCCCGTTACCAAGTAACAGGAGGGTCTGACAACTGTGGTGGTAATCTACTTGTACTGAATTATTATTTTGATTGTATGTTAATAAATAAAGTTGTCTGGGGGTCAGAGCTATTAGAGCCATAGCAAGAGTGTGGCGGTGGTGGCACACGCCTTTAATCCCATAGATATCTGTGTGTTCAGGGTCAGAGCTATTAG